GGGGGGAGCAATATTCAGGCAGGGAGAAACCGGAGATGCTTCCCACAGTTCTAGCTCTGGGCATCATTGCAAAGGCATTCAGGGGTTTATGGGAGAGTCTCCAGATTTCTCTTCTGGAAGCCATTCATTTGCAAAATGTTTTATGATGCTTAACAAGGCTGTCAACATTTTGCCTACCTGCAATCTGGTGATCAAAGTCCTCCTGGTCTCAGCTATCTAAGAATGGAGAAACTGGGCCACAAAGAGGCTTCTCTTGGACGCTTGCAGGCATTAGGGACTACAGACATACAATGCCTTGTGCCCCGCGCTGGCACCGGTACCCTAACAGCTAGATGCGACCCCTTGGGCCAAGCTGTCACTAACGCTGAATGGTCTGGGCTCTCAAAGCCATTGCTAAATGCCAACGAGCCATGTTGAACCGAGTCGCGTTCCAAGCACAGAAAGCAAACCCAGCTCTGCGAGCTCGAGGCGTGGGGAGAGGATCTTTATGGGGCTGCTGACAACAAGGAGGCTGCAGACAGTAACTGCGGAGAACCTGTAAAGACCTGCTCACATTTTACTCCTGTTTGCTGAGTCTCTGCCGTGCGAAAGCAGCTCCCTCCGAGCTCTGGAGTACATTCCAGCTGCTTTCCTTGTGGGAGAGGGGCCGCTCGGCCATTGCAAGCGTGCACAGCTCGAGGGTCGAACGCACCTATGGCAGCTGTACAAACAATCCCCTGGACGACCGCCGAACCAGGCAAGTTGCTGCTGCCTGCAGGGGACTGAGCTGGCCCCCAGGCCAGGACTCGTGGAAATCGAACACGGGTTACTTTTCGGAGTGCTGGGCATTAAGTGCAGTCACTGGAGCAGGCTTAATCGCACATAAATCTTAAGCAAAGATCAGGGATCAGTTTAAAATCACAGGGTTTCGTGTTGAACGCCAGAACGGCATGAATATCAGATGATCTTGACATAAAACCATCCATCAATCCCGGGGTTGTGCCCAGCCCCTCGCCGGCCTCAAAGCTTAGCAGTGCTTCACACTGGTAACAGACCCCAAGCGAGCAAGTGGAAAACGTTTTCCCAGCGTTGTTTATCCGCCCGCTGCCACAATCTGAAAGGCCCGACCGTGCAGGCTTGTAAAGAAAGAGCTCTCGGACGATCACACTCGCAAATAAATCCCTCAATGAAAGGCTCTTCCTACAGACTATCAGGTGAGTTAGCATTTAGAGACACAGATGAACAAGTGAGATGACTGCATTTAAGAGCGCTGAAAGGCACTATAATTTCAACCTGGCTACAGAAGGCTTGAATTGCAAATTAGCGGTCTCGAAACCCTAACCATATTAATTTTGATGTCTGCATCAGAAAGTACATGAATGCACTATTTAAAGTCAAAGCAATCTGGTCTGACGATTCTCCTGTGCATTGGGAAAGCTGATTGGAAATGAAAAACGCATGCACTGAAGGACGATTGCCAAGATTTACCCCCATTCCCATGGTAATGGCCTCCTTCAATCAGGTTCAGCTTTCCAAAGCATATCAGACACTTCTGAAGAGAAAGTCTAATGGCTCCTTTTACTATAGGTCTGACCTGAAAGTATGTAACCTTGATGGGAAACCAGGTTTGATCATTCTTTGCTGTTTTATTTCCCTAACTCAACTTCCCTCTGATTCTCCATGTGAAGAGCAAGACGGATTCTCTTCCCTTTCCTACAAAGAAGAACACAGCACACTTTTGATAAGAGTAGAAAGCTAAAAGTGGCGTCAGTACCCACTACGCAGCCTCAGAGTTTGCCCTTACAACTTCCTAAAACCATAAACAGTCTTTTGGCGGCTGAAAGCTCCACTAAAATCACAGGCAAATAACTGGAAATACAAAAGGGGCCAAAGAGATGCTATCAGCACTTAGACTTTACAGGCAGCAATGGGCACTGCTAGTAGGACTGAGTGCAATCAGCACATGACACACAACAGCAGCATAAAGCGATGTGCTCCGTTCCCTTCCCCTGCCTCCTCACAGGGAGCAGGCCTGAGCCTCGCTGCGTTCCCTTCACCTGCCTCCTCACAGGGAGCAGGCCTGAGCCTTTCATCCAGGGATTCCTTGTGGCTAAGTTAGCACCTTGTGGGGGTTTTCAATAAAATCTTTAAATCAAACTCGAAAGTCATTAAAGGATGCAATAATCCAGCAGACTCCTGGGTAAGTTGCTCCAACAGGTCCTGAGCCTTGCGGTGAATGACTGGCATCTTAATTTGTGCAGCAAGTAGAATAGAAGAAAATCACAGGGGTGGTAGGTATCAGTCGGCCACGCTCCGTCTCAGTGCTGCTCAGCCATAGACTCCTACACGTCGCATTAAAAGTGGTAACAGCTGCAATGTGATTTGTGCTGGGGAAATTAGTTATGGCCCATGTGGCTACAGGCAAGTCGCTGACATGGCTTGCAACTATGGGACAGCGCCAGCCCTGAATCTGTACAAGGTAACGGTACAGAGCTCAGCAAGGTCCCGGCCGCTGCCCGGCATCTCAATAAGACTGGCAAACCAGCCAGGGGAGACTCAAATTACTTTCAAGCGTCACCTCTGCTGCTCCAGCTGGCATGGGAAGCTGGAGCATCTGGTATTCAGGATCTGAGCAGGAGAGAAAAGGCACCAATATACAGATAGCTGGCTGAATAACCACCAGACAAATGCCTGCACACACCTCTGAAAGGGCTATTGTGTGAGGTGTGGTGCACAGAAAGCAAAATGTGAGCTGGGAAACCACAGGAAGATTAGAGGATGCTATGTACACCACCGGAGAATGCTGCCTCAGCAACTTTGACAAAAAGCTGTTTTTCCCGTCTGGAAGGAGGATGACACAGGAAAAACCCCGCGCGTGGAGAATTTGATCATGCATTTAAAGAGGGGATCTCTGCTCCACTTCCCAACAGCTGGAGCAAATCTGTGGGATCAAGCCAAAGCTAACACAGATGTGGAATTCATCCACAGGCTCTTCGCTCTGAAATCAGCTGATCCTCTTGGACTGCTCCTCCCTCCCCACTCACGCTGCGCTCCTGGTAAGTTAAATATTGCCCGCGGTGCGGGAAGCCCGCTGGAACAAGAGCTGGGGAAGTGCACTCCTTTCCAGGTGTACCAGATATGGACGGACGTGGGATGACCAGCTCATCCAGAAATAGATCTGGCACCTTATACAGGTGCTTAGGAAACCTGGAGCGGAGAAACCGGAGTTGCCAGGTCCTTTCATAATCTCATCTGGACCAAAGTCATCAACCAGCTGGAGCTGAATCAGGACCCCAGGGTGCCAATTCCTGGTCCCACTGTTCACACTCAACTCTTTGGCCCAGCATTTTAGAGCATCACGTGCTCCTTTACCCATCTTCAGTAGAGTGACTGGAGACCCACAGACGAGAGGCCTGACAGCACTGCAAAAGGTTATTCTTGGCTGCTTTGCTGCTGCAGACAGGGATCCTTTGCTCGCTTTCTTTCTTCCATCCCAGCAACTTGGAAATGCATCAACACTCGGGAGAACTTTGAAAACCACCCTAGAAGAAAGTCTCTGCAATAA